GGGTACATGGACCCTCTGGGCTACTTATTACCAAGTTTTAGGTTCAGGGCAAGTTAGAGAGCTTACCACATCGACCCCCACGACAAGAAAACGGCGTCTGCGCATCAGGGCACGCTAAGGGTCTAATTGCGAGCAGTCATGGCAGTCATCTACGCCACCAACACCTATTCACCATAATTTAAGTACTAGAACCTATTAAGCGATGATTTTCAGTGCGAAATGCTCATACTGGGTACCGGCCTTCAATAAGCGCAGGCTCTTCTCCCTCTCGGATACGTACTTTGGACATGACATGGGGGGGGGGTTACTGTAATGAATGCAGGGGTTTAGGAGAACTGAGCTAGCTTTTCTCGTGTCTTACTTCCGACTCCGTTCGCTTCTATACTACAGTTTAGGGTGCTGACCAACCCATATTTGGTGCTGGGGCGTTTGTCGCAATCAGGGAAGGGGTAGATCAGACCCTAAATCCCTAAACCCTAAACTCTAATCCCTGCGGCAGGAAGGAGCTTTAACTCAATTGCAGGAGGAGAATTGGATTTGCAAGTGCTGCGAGTTGGTTTTGACCCAAACCCTAAACCCTAAATCCTAAACTCTAAACCCTAAATCCTAGACCCTAAACCCTAAATCCCAAACCTTAAACTCTAAACCGCGGAGAGAGCTTGTTTCAAGGACTTTCTCACTCATTGCCCCGCCTTCTTCCCCTCTGTCTACCCTGAATACCTTTGGTGGACCCAACCCCCCCCCCCCGTAATAGTGATATAGGGTTTTGGGCTTTGGGTTCAGGGTTTAGATAATACTGGTATACTAGGAATACAAGAGGACCCTACTATAATCCCAATTATCCCTTATAGTCACACTTACCGGGTGGGGGACCCACCTGATGAACACCTATTACTACTGCCGTATACCTTTCTTCCAGGGTACAAGGAGCGTCCTGGGTTTTTGATTTGCACCCTAAACCCTAAACCCTAGAGTTTCAAAGAGCTCATGGGACCCCGAAGCTTTGAAACACCACGGCCTCATAGTCAGCACCTTTCTAGCCTGCAGAGTTTTCCTCATTGCGAGGAGGCAAACACGGATTAGATGTTAGCAAAAGAAGTCTATTTAAAGACATCTGTACGTATTTTGCATGCGGATGCATTCAGGCTTGGTATGCTTCGAATGGAACGCATCATAAACTTCATATTTTCATGCTATCAACACCCCCCTCCTTTAAGGGCCTAAATATGAGGATCCCTATCATAATCCCTATGAAGGGGAGGGGGTTTACCAATCAGTGGTCTACATTATCCGCGCCCTCCGGGGTCAGGGTTCAGGGTACCCCAAAGATACAGATGCCCAAGCAATCACTGGGTTAGAAGTATGGCAAAGATGTGCACCGGATGCCCAAGGCACGCTTGAAGGCTGCCATAGAGAGCCAGAGCGTTTCAGCCATCCACGCCGTTCTTCAAGCCATTGAGGATCTGGGGCTTAGGTCAGTTTGGCAAAGTCAAGGGTTGGAGAAATCCTACAAGACAGGGAGCTTGAGTGAGTAACTTTTTGAGTCAAGGATAGTGAGTTGAGGGGCTTGTGTAGGATTATCTAATGTTCGCCGTGTTGGGGCTTGGCCTTTGCGGGCCCATCGCGGCTGCACACTCTGTCTGCAAAGCGTCGAAGTATTGTCAGGTCCACATATTGGCGGCATGTGTACGTGAAAAAAGTGATGCTTTCTCACTGCTCTTCATGCCATGTGTCTGCATCATACCTGAAAGGTCCAAGTAATCCGAGCTGAAGACGGAAAGACCACCAAGACCATAGCACGTTACTCCTCAAGCCCCGACGAATTTGAGAACCTATGCACTTTGGGATGCATAGATGTGGTTACGGCGCGAATGTTGTAACCCTAAACCCTAAACCCTATTGTGGATGTTGTATTTCATTCACACCTACCCCTTGTTTTGGGGACCCAACTTTATGGCTAATATGTTCTGAATACAAAATAAATACCCTAAATGCTGCTATGGTGTATAGGGTTTAGGGTTTACAAGCCCCCAGTTGCATTGTTCATTTACTTGGGCCTTGCAAACTTATGCTTCGAATCTTTGGGAGTTAATGTCCTTGTTTTCTTACAGGCTTTACGGTTCAGGGTTCGGGCTTAGTCAGATTGACCCCAAACTAGGTGATTTTGGGCAGCAGCTTCAAGTTTCCATTATATTAAAGACCAGTAAGAGCATGACATGAGAACGCTTAATGCTAGCCTGAAACAGAGCCAGGCATACCAGGGACAGACCAACTAGATTGCTGTGCGCTTAAGTTACCATCATATGGGTAAATACTTGTTACTGTAGTTTATGGTAGTTTCAGAAAAGTTCCTGAACAGCAACCCGGCAATCATGTACCCAACCTCTCAGGTATATTTTTGTCGATGCCCTTGATACCAACCATGAAATCACCAGAGACCCCAGCAGTACCCTTCTCTCCTTTTTCATTTTAAAGTCTCCTTGAATAAGCTGAACATCACGAAAAAAGGGTACCATTATTGCTAAAAGGTTACTGGGGAATCTAGATCAAGTGCCCAGGAAGGAGGTAACCGAGAAAAACCATGACTTTCATAGAGAAGAACTTTCCTTACATAATCTTTACTCGGGACACCGAACTTTCCCCAAACCAGCTCTTGATATGGCCTGGACCACAACGTAGGTAAGTAGGTAGGGTTCAGCGCTTGGGGTTTAGGTTGGGTACTGCCCCTACCCAGTAAGAGTCTATATTAGGGATCCTATTATAAGGGCTATATACAACCTTTCTATTTCTTTAATATCCAACTGTTACTGAGTGGGGGCAGTATCCAAGGTTTAGGGTGTAGGGTGCTTCAGAGAATCCCCCTGGCTGCAGGGTGCTTCCAGTACAGCCTCCTTCCAACCAAAACTCGGCGAGACATTTGCAACATGCTGCTTGATTGTTCAAATTCTCAAATTTTTAGGACCCAGGGGAGCTGTGGGATTATCAGAAGAGTTTGATGTCCCGCTTGAGGATGACATAGAAGCGTATGTTGTGAAGCTCTAGCTGAAACTGGGAAGGAAAGAACAACAGCAGCATACGGTTTAGTGTGTTGTTTTAGGGCCTAGGGCTTAGGATATAGTCTAGACTATAGAGTTTACGGTATTTGTGAGTATACCCAGTTGGTGAAGATTCCCCGCCGTGGCTTTCTCGGGCGACAGAATTACATTCTTGTTCCCTAAGCCCTCAACCCTAAACTTTAAACCCTCAGGCCCAAAGGAAGCCCCGATTACTTACTATATACCCATATTTTGGACACGTAATGTGAGTTCCTTAACAGCAACCCAGTAAACACCATTAAGCCTTTCATGGTGATAGTCTATGCAGTAGTCAGATCATTCAGGTTATGCGAAGCCCGACATGACCTCTCAGGGCTTGGGCCTAGGGTTTAGGGTGTACCTGGGAAGCCAAACACCCGAA